GTTATTTCTGGAACAATGATGTCAAGGCTGTACAGCTTTGATATTTTATCTCCATGGCTGATTATCTTGCCATATGATGAGATAATATCCATTCTGGACTCTTTGAATTTAAGTTCAAATCCAGCATCTATAATGCACCCTATCAACATAAGATTGAATGGTGCATCAGGACAGTGGATACACTTCTTTAGTGTGACTGGAGTGATCTTTTCCCCTTCAACCATTTTAATCTTGACAGTTCCCCTTCCTAAACCCTTGGTTTTTCCTACACCAATGACTTCATGTCCTGGAGTTTCAACATAGTCAGAAAAATATAATCTATTTTTGACTATATGTCTGGTGGTGCCAGAGTCCTCTAGCCATGATACTCCTGAGAGTGAAGTAAGTGCGACGTCTGTTGCACAAAATATGTAGTCATCTTCTTCTGAGTCCAATTTGGCAATATGTGCCTGAGTCTGGCTCTTTCCCTTTCCTTTCCATGACTTTCCAGAATTCTTCTTCCCATTTGGGCAATTTGTTCTGATGTGATCAGTTTCCCCACATCTGTAACATGTGACTTTTGAATTGGACTTCTTGCCATGTGCTGCAAGTGTCGTGGTCCGATCAGAAGTCTTTTCCTTTAGTCAGATGTCTTCCTGAAGAATTCGGGAAATCAACTTGTAAGAATCTTTCAAGTCAGCAGTATCCACTGATGAGATGAATGAATTCCATGATTCCAGGAGTGATGTAAGCAGTGTGATAGAGAAGTCCTCCTCCTTGACTTTCTGCTTAAGGGATGCCAGCTCCTCCTGATAGGACCTCAAAGTCCTAATATGCTCCTCTATGTTTCCTCCTTCTTTGCACTGAGCTCTGAAGAATTTCCTTCTGACAAGGACAATTCCCATGGGTCCCCTAGACTCATACATATCTTCCAGAGCTTTCCAGGCTTCTGCCGAAGCCTTTGAACCAGCAATATATACCAGCAGGCCATCAGAAACCCGCAATCTTATTGTTGAAAGAGCCTTCCTATCGCTCTTCTTCCAATCTGCCACCAGTGTCGTGTCTGCCGGGGCCGGAATGCTTCCATCTGCATAATCAATCAGTCCTAAATCGGTTAGGATATCGATCATCTTGATTTTCCATGTCGGATAATTTTCCGGGCCCTTAAGGGGGTCAATTCTATACACGGACTGGCTATCCATGCGGTTCTATGTGTGTATGTAAAGTATGAAAGGGTGCGAAGTGAGTAGCGATGTAAGTTCAGTTATGGCTGGGGCCCATAACCTGTTGTAAGTAGAGAGCAGAGTAATGTACAGAGGATTATTATTAGCCTCTTGGGAGAGAGACATTCTACTTAAATACATTTTGTATTACTTCGAGATCTTTCTACGAGATACTAAATAAGTCCGGATCACGATCCAAGTCAGCTGCCGCTGACTGGCATCGTATCTTCGAGTACATTCTCGTACTCGCTCGGGATTGCTATCCCAACAGGTGTGAACGGGTCATTCAAAAAGATAACGCGCCATACTCTCCGGTGCAAATACGGAACAAATGGATGAAACAAATCCGGAGAAGACTGGAACTAGACTGCCTAATGATACGAAAGCGTTTTGGCAAGAAGGCTCTCCAGAAAGACCTAGTCTTAAGGACGTGGTCCGGTGTTATCGAAAACGAGCATCGGCTTCCTAAAGACTGGACAGAAATAGACGGGGCCTTAGTGGGTATGGAGTAAACGGGCCGGGGAAGCACAAGGTAAGTATGGGGACGGTGCGAAAGAAGGAGTTGTTCCCCGGCAAATTCTTCAGTCCCGAGTCCCACACTCTTCGGTGCGTAAAGTATTTCCTCGCGATGAACACGAAAACACACTTGAAATTGAAGCACTAACTACACATGCTTGGTTTAAGCTCCTGGCAACAAATATGGCTGCACGTTGGAAGCGACTGTGTCGCTGGACCGCCTCTGCGATAGCCCCCGCCAAAAAATAAAAAATAAAATTTAAAAAAAGACAGGGTGGCACAGACTTGCGGCCCGTACTGATTTACGAATCGATGGGAACCGGCACATTCTGTCTCTCTGCCATCCATGCGCTCGTGCATATCGCAAGACACCGGATCGAAAACCTGCAACGGATATAGCCCCGATCGCTCAGGGAACACAAACGGACCTTTGTCATTACAACGATCCCGTCTCGCGGTAAATTTTCTTGCTTGGTGGCCTTACCCAAGAACATCTCGGATTGCCCGTTGGAGTAGACCTAATGATGGGAAGCTCGAAGGTAAGCGCGAGTAAAGGCAGGCGTACATTGGCGGTATCGAAAGTGTTGATTCCAGTGTCGTACCTTGGCGGGAATCAGGTTGGGATCAAGGAACGAGGATAATAGGTATGTATGCTGCTTCGATTTTCTGGATGCTCTCTTCTTCATTCTGCACTCAGTTAAACCAATCCGGGCTCCCATACGCCGCACAACCTAGAATGATTTTTGATACCTTCAGTCCCGAGGAACCGAGGGTTACTGCAGACGTCCGATGAGCTCTGATCCCCACAACTGCTGGGGGATGGACCGTAAGGCATGTTTATGCTTGCAGGCGAGGACATTGCGTTGTTAGTCGAAGAAAGAGGACGGCTTTACGACTCCCATCCATGATGTCAGCTATGGTTGGGTTTGGCCATTCCTGATTGGGACCTTGTTGCCGATACAACGAAGGAACAACTACGACACAACAGAAAGGAACAATTATGACATAACACAAAGCGCCGTGTGAGTAGAATGCGACCATCAGTGAGGCTGCCAGTCGCCAACCTCAGTGCAGGCCGCCGTTCCGTTCTAGGATAGCGACGTCCTTGGGTATGATGAGACTGCAGAAGGCCAGGACGTAGTGACGATAAGACCATCGCATTGAAAACCACCTCTATTCGTCCGTGTTTAATTTCCAGAGCATGACAGAGGACCAGACGCCATCGGAAGAACGCAAGAATATGCGAGGATGGTACAGCACTGAGCCACAATCTTTTATCCAGTCCAGCTCAAAAGCCATAAAGATAGTGACTAGCCTATCACGCTGTAAGCCGCAGGAAGAGGGGGTGTTGTACTCGCGGGCATCTTCCGTATCACTGGCCCATTCGTTGGTTCTTAAAATGTGCACCCTGTTGCGCAAAGGTCCATTCTCTGTGACGCAATCGACATATGCTATCGAAACTTCAACGCCCCTTTTCAGTACCTGTCGTTTCAGATGAGATAAACGCTAGTATATCAAGGCAGGGTCACTGGTCTGTATTGCTGAGGAAGGTGCTCTCTCACCTGGCGCAGGTAAAGAAGTGTCCTAAGATGATATATGGAATTTCGCTCAGCATTTACATCGCGCTTGCAACTAGGCATAGTAGTAATCGTTCCACTGACCTGGTAGACGATTAACCATTTCTTCCTTTCGTCACTCTGATACGGCAACATTTAACAATCCACAGCGAGCTTTGGATTCCAGCGAACGAGACTCTCTATGCTCCGTCTTTGATGATATAACGTTCGGTCGCGAACGGGATGTCGTGGATGATGCATGATAGTTCAGCGCCGTTGGTTCTGGGGATTCTTATCCGTCGATTTGCTAGAAAATGCCATTAAATTTCTCAGAGGAAGCCCAGTATTGCTCCTCTTCACCAGTTCATCCAGCTCTTCAATGTTCGAGGGTCCAAACGCTCTTGCTGATACTCCTGGAAGAAACGAAATCGTGCCAGATGGCACAAATGGTGAGAAGTCTGTCAAATCCGTGTTGGATTAGCAAGCAGGAGCTCCGTCGTATCCCGCCGGCGGAGCTCAATACCCCTTTATGTCGGGATGGACTACATATATTGAATACGGTCCGTCGAGCACCCTCACCACGTTTCTGCTTATCGCTACGCTGTGTGAGGGTGAGTATCTACTTATATTACTTTGTTTATGTTACTGATTGGTATCCTGTAGTCTACATTATAGCTAACAGTGTACTCTATTAGGTGCTACGAACGCGCGTCACTTTCTTAGAATGCGCTGATCGTGCTTCCTCATAGCTTTGTAAGGCCTGCCTTCAAGCTAGGGATTCTGCTTGCTATTTCATTTCCAGGTTCCTTGGACAGCAGCTTCAATTCCTTGCGTCCTTTTCTCAACTTCGTTACATGGTCATCTTGAGATGCCTTTACCGCAGAACTTTCTGGACGATAACATGAAAAATAGCAAGCAAAAACCTGTCGAATACATCCAAAACCAATATATACAAAGCAAGAAAACAGAGTCCAATCAAATCCCACTTATTCCTCGACAGGCGTGCTGGTACCTTCCCCATCGCTACTCAACGCTATCCAGTCCTCCTCCGTTGGAACATATGACACTGACGGAATCTTCGCCCCTTTGGCTCTCAAAAACCTCACAACCTCAGTAGCGTTCCTCCACCCTTCCCCGCTCTCCTCAAACCCATATGTCTTCGCTAAATGCCTGCTCGCCTTCACTTTCTTCCCCGTCTCCCCCCGCTCTAGCTGATCAAAGAACACAGCGAGCGCTTTCACAGCTTCCACTCGCGCACGCAGGATGTGTCGCATGATCCTCCGCGTAGGAGGGCGGCGCTTCCGGCGCGATCTGACAGGTGGTTCGTTTGCAGTGAGGAGGTCAGCTGGACCAGGAAGGCCCGTCCGCGCGTCACCTGGTGTCGTGAGCGCAGCGGAAGGTTCAGGGGTGGAGCTGTTCGGTCTATCTATCCAGGGATTCTCTTTCGGAAGGACAGGTGTAGTGTACTGCGACAGGGCAGCGAGGGAGAGATCCATGCCCTTCGGCGCCCAAACGCCGATAAGGGCGCGCCATGTTGCGTATAGCCGTTTCGCGCTGGGAAAGCTTAGTATCGGCATTCTTAACGTCGACAACAGGTAGAAAACACATACTGTTCGTAGTTATCTGCAGAATTCATCTGTCAGTCTGGGAAATCTTTTTGATGGAGCAGTAGTACATACCATCAATTAATGTGTTATGATAGCGCGCAAAAAGATACACAATAACAGCAGCAGCCAATGCCCCTGCGGAGGAATAACGGAGGAAGGCCCACAAGAAGAAAAACGCTGCAGGGTATACCATCATCATGGAAAGTAAACCGAACACGATCTTATTCTGGGCTTGAGTCTCTTCCTCATCCTCAACCAGACGTGCCCCAAGCCGAGCCATGAAATACACAGGTATATGAACAACAACGGGGAAAAGGAAAAAAGGTAGACGGGCAAGGCAAGCTAGTGTGTCACGTAAGAGTATGAGAAGGGTGATGAGGCGACTAGGGAGAGGCGTAGGCACGCTGGGGTCTAATGAGCGGGGCAACGGCATGCCCGAGAGGACAGAGTTGGTGAGATTAGCTGATTGTAGTAATGAATAGTATTCAAGCAAGTTTCGCTTTGCTGACATGAAATTAGCAGTAGCATCTGTAGTCGAAAACAAGTCGACAAGCCTAGAGAAAAATTAGCTAGTACACGAGATAAGAATAAGCTCACGTACGTCTGAGATATGATCACAAACTCATCCATATTTATAGATTTTTCGTCGTTCCACATCAAATCGCGAGCTATGCGGGCAGTATACAGTGTGTCCCTTTTGACATGTCAGTAGCAAGATATCATGCGGTGCGCCGAGAGCCTACCAGTCGGGTGCATTGATGGTGGATTCAATCAGCTCATTCTCGAGCGTCCTTGTCAGAGATTTTGCAGCCAAGCGTGCCTCGCCCTCTGTCGGGTCATTGAATTGTTTGAGGTACGCGTCCATTAAGATTGGACGCCCAAACCTGCAGCAGCATTTATGAAGCGAAAAGTTGACTGAGTAAATATAAGACTTACTCAACGATAACCTGTTGAAATGGTTACATGTCAGCTCCGGACAGCTACAAGACAGTCTAAGGTACGCACATTGCTCCGATATTTGGACTTGTTCGTGTACACTATTGCTGCGGGTATAATTTTCACCTCAGTGGAGGGAGCTTTTTCCGGGTTCTCCTTGAGCCATTTTGTGTATTCCAAAGCTGCCCAAGCTGCACCATCCTTGACCTGCATGATCCGCGGCTCGGTGTAACTAGTTCCCTCAGGAAACAGCGCTACAGCACCACCCTTGGCTAGCGCTTCAAAGGTTCCTTTGAACAAGACTTGACGATCCTTGGACTTGCGGTCGACGGGGATGTTTCCTGTTGAAAGGAGTATGTATCGTACGACCGGGTTGGCATAAAGGCTCGCTGCAGTCCAGCTCAATAGCCTGGTATCAAGAGAAGCAGAAGAACGCACCTTTGCTCCAATAATGTAATATCCGCTGGTAAGGAAAACTTGTCGCTGTAGTCCCCTTTAACACGGAGAGACAGTAGGGGTTGGAGCGACGTACAGAGGATAATAGGGTCCAATATCATGTTATGGTGGGTCGCAGCACTGTTTATTGTCGGTGAAGGTGTCAATAAAGATACGATAGGCAACCGACACAATGATAGGGCCATCCTTAGGCACATTCTCCCCTCCGATGACCCGTATTTCGGTGAAAAACGAGGCTGCAGCAACACCCACAACGTATCGTATAGCCTTGTGAAGGAGAAAATATTCACTCGACATTGGCACGTCGAGAGGCAAACTGAGGACGGGTGTCGACGAGTGTCGCTGGCAGAAATTGTCTGAGTGAACGTGCTCTATTACCCTAAGGTAGTTAGGGGAGCCCACTATTTAAGCTATGATCAAGGTGAAAACATGAAATGTTGCAGATTTAGCCGCTTATATCCATATATAGATTAATTTGGACTAAACCTTGACAGCCTGCCCAAAAACGAACTACGACAACCCATCTACCCAGACATGTTTCTCTGCTGCATTCGGAAGCGCGGCCCACTTTCAAGACAATTTTAGAGCCTACTGCAATACGTGTAACGTGTCAGCCTTTCGTTTGTCTCAAGCGTGGAACCTCCCCTCGCGCGCGCGAGACTCGAATTCGATCTAAAAGTCGACCCTTTATTCTAATTTTCGCGTGGATGACAGAGGGGATAACTATCACATACCGCTTTTATACCTGCCTGGCCACTTCTCTTAATCATGCTGGCTGGTACTATCGAGTCTTGCAGAGGGACCTTGCTGCACGGTTAATTCATATGATATCTTGCACCTACCGCCCAGGTGCATTCACACCGAGACGAAGACATTGCGTAGCGGATTTCGATTCTCTGCATCACCACGTAATGGGCGGCTACTAGTATCGTAGCAGTGTGACCGTTGATCTTGATTGCGCACTTCGTTATAACTTTTCTATCACCCGTCTTATTGGTGAACCAAACATTTGCCATTGGTATCGCCGAAACCTCGGAAGACAACATGTCCTCGGACATGGGATCTGTTGCAGAATGGTGCCGATAGTATGTCGATTCGTTCATTGCGTGACATCTCAGTCTGACAATAGCAAGTTGCATTGCGGGCGTAGGTGATGGCGCATACTTCCGCTGCCACTTTTTTCCAGAGAAAAACATTGTCTAATGTTAGAGTGAAAAGATGGATCGGAGCCCAGTGACGGCGGTATGTTCACGTTATCATAAGGTCCTCGGCGCCGGACACATTTCGAGAAGCAAGGAAGGTATTCCTTGACTAAACATCTCTTTCTGCTTAGTTCCACATCTTACATCATTAATCCGGATTTCCGGCTAGAGTCCTTAATAACGCGCATCTTTCGCTGGAAAATACAAAAGCTACAATCCCTCTTCAACTACCAAGTACACAGAATGACTAACAATATTGTTAGGCTTTCTAGTACCAACCCTTTCATGTGTTCCACACTCATGGCTGGGTTTAGGAATCACCGATGTGCAACGGTAGGACTTCATCCTGCCCACTCAAGGTCATTATTATCGGTGCAGGAATCTCGGGCCTTTCCGCTGCCATCTGCCTGGCAAAGGCTGGACATATCGTCACAGTCTTAGAGAGCCGATCTGACCTTCGAGAGATTGGTGCAGGAATCCAAATTGCTCCCAGTAAGCCCATTTCAATTCTGCTCAGAAGAAAAGATCTGATTGTCTGTCGATATAGACACGTCTCGCCTCCTCATTCGATGGGGTCTTAAACCTTCGTTAGACGAGGTTTCCGACCTCCCTGAAGATTTCTCTGTGTTACGGTGTATGTGATCTTCTGCATGACCATCTTTGCCTAGTATTAATACATACCAGACGACAACGGCAGTGTCTTGGACTTTGTGCCCTATGGATCTGCTATGGCCGAAGCACAAGGTGCTCCGTATTATTGCCTACACGTACGTCTGTTCCTCCAGTATCCTCCGATCCTTACCGTTATTACAGAGACGCGACTTAATTGACATACTGCACGACACTGCGCGTCCGCTGGTGAAGAGCAGGCTCAACAGCAAAGTAACTTCAATCGACCCCGCCAACGTCTCCGTCACTTTACACACGGGCGAAGTCCTCGAAGCTGATCTTATCATCGGCGCTGATGGCATTAATAGTGTTACGCGTGATATTGTGGCAGAAGTGCCAGTTCGCTCTATACCCAGCGGAGAAGCCGCCTTTCGTGCTACCATCGACACAACTCGGATGCTGTCTGATCCCGACCTTCGTCCTTTGGCCGAAAAGCCGCAAATCAGCGCATGGATAGGACCCCACAAGCACGTAGTCGGATATAATATAGTGCGTTCTCTTCATATAATTGTAAAAGATGAGGTTCAACATTGATAAATGAATGTACTAGGGAAGAAATAAATACAACTTCGTTATACTCCACGAAGACGACACCGAGGATTCCATGGCCTTATGGACTCGACCTGGAGATATCGAACAAATGAAGAAGGAAATTTCTGGTTGGGAGCCTCGGTAAACTTCGACATGTCAGTTGATTGATTTCTCTAACGAACCTCTCCAAGAGTTGGAAAACTATTGGACCTTGTCACCTCTTCGATCGTAGGCTCTCTCAAAGGTCTCGAAACTCCACTGCAGTCTTGGGTGCATAAGAATGGACGCATTTCTTTAATCGGGGATGCTTGTCACCCAATGTTGGTAAGTGTTTTGTATATTGTATACCGCCAGTCAAGCTGTTAAGCATCCACGTAGCCATATCGGGCGCAAGCTGCCTCAATGGCCGTATGTTCTTCATTCCCTCTATGATGAATACTAGTAGTTAACTACTTCCCTCGGGTCGCTCAGATCGAAGATGCCACCGTGCTCGGTAACCTGTTCGCCCACATCACAGACAAAGATCAAATCCCATCTCTCTTAGAAGCCTACGAAAGTCTCCGACGCCCTCGTGCTACCGAAACCACCGATGGCTGTTGGTCTGATAAGACAATGTTTCACCTGGAAGACGGTCCGGAACAACGTGCGCGAGATGAGGCTCTCAAAGCGATGATGGGCAAGATTTCCGGGAGCGGTCGGAACTACGACGTTCAATATGGGTATGATGTGGATGCAGTTATGACTGATTGGTGGAAAGAGCGTGACTAGGATTCCATACCCACACAAATACATGACGGATGAAATTTCGAATAGACACTTTCTGGGGCTTTGACAAGATATTCTTAGCGCCAACCACGGAACGATAAAGGTTTGCTGGGTTTTGGACCTAGTAATGTTCCCACTTGACATTCTGCTGACGCAAGAGACCTTATCCTGGGTAACAAAGCATGTTAAGTTGAAGATCATACACTACCTGTTCCACAGTGTCAACAGCTTTTGCCGATTACGTACTAAACGCATAGCATGAGTTGTAGGTGTTCAATTGTTAGTGCCAAACTTTATTGATCTCACTGTGGGCTCGCAGTTTTGGGTTATATGAGGGTAAGACAAGACATAGTGTGATACTATTTCTATGGACGGAGGCCATGCGAATTTTGTGCCTGGAGGCATAGTCAGTAGCAGGATGGCTGAAGGCTGGGCGTTCGGATTCTTGCGCCGAGTAATGAAATAAATAAAAGGTTGCCGACAAAAAGATGAAGTGAAAGTTATCGTCACCCAAGAGGCGCCTGAGTTAAAGTTCACACCAGGAAGATGAACTTTTCTCGCACACCTGAATTCGGGGATGGAGGCAAACTATATTTTGGAAGATCTAAGACCAAGATCTGCTGAAAGAGATGCATCGACGAAGTTTGAGAGCACACAGATTCGGTGTAAAATCAGTGCGAAAAGGAATCTCGGTTCGACTGCTGGAGTTCACATAGATTCCTCCTTCCGCGACCATCTCTTATGCTTGGTACGTTTGGATCCGAGACCATGGCTTGTGGATGTACTATCTGTTTGCCAATATCTCGTCAGCCTACCTTGCGATGGCGGTGACTGCTCTACATTGCTCTTATTGTACCTGCTATAGGGCACGTCTATTGCTCCCGCTGCGTATCGGACCACACTTCGAAAACTACAGCAGATGGATTTACGGCTCTGTGTCCGGCATGCAGGAAATCGTTTCACATAGGTCAGTCACTATAGCCATTCATCGTGTCTCATGGTCGTAGGCGGTGCTCTCGTCACTCCATCGGTAAGATCCTTGCCGCTATTCCGTGCCTGAAGACCTGTTGAAAGGTCAGTTGCAGCTGCAGAGTCTAGCTCCGCAATTTCATCGATATATCATGCTAAGCATTGGCAAGTTTACATCGACATGACCCCTTCTGAAAATACGCGAAATTTGGAGGACAATAAGTAGCCTTTACGCCAACCTCCTAGTTTTGACAAAACATGTCGGGCGTGTTGTTCCTTTGCAATTCTTCAAGAAACATGAATCCGCTTCATGGGCCATGTCTTGGCGGGCGATAGTAAGCACTGTACCGATTCTGCAGTTGACTTCGCCTTCACTAATTGTCGAAATCAAAATACTGGACTCGGGAAGTTTTGAAGGCTGAAATAAGGTCGATATGGTTGCTTTGTGTAGGACATTTCCTTTGACCGTTGAACATTGATGTCAGCGATAAAACTGCGGTCAGCAAGGAAAGGTTAAGTGCACCTTCGGATTTAACAGGATTTCTTTCGGCCTATGTAGTGAGGGGCAACGTACGAAACATGGAAACATTACAGAAAAGTGAGCACGTTGACACGTCTCCGGCGTCATACACACCAGCGACCTTTCGTCTTGAAAGTGGCCATGACATTGACGACCCCCTTCTGATATCGGGTTTCCCTTTATTCGATTTGATCGAAGAAACGATGAATCATATTGTTGTATTATTATGTATATATGTAGCCTAGAGGCGCAGCAATCAAAATGCCGCAGCATCTCGAAACATTACTCCTAGTATACGCAGCACCTGCAAATTGTGCACACGTCAAATATCAACTAATTTGATTAACGCCTCGATTCCTCTCGGTTTGCTCTCGATTCAAGAAAAAAATGACCACGAATATAGTCAACTGATAACAGCATCGACGACATACAACTTGAATGTACAGAACTACTGAGAGAGAGGGGGCTCCGCCCAGCAGTCGCGGGAATAGTTAGAGAGAGAAAGAATGATGAACTTGGATCTCGTCCATCTGAAATGAACAAGGGGACCGGACGAGAGGTAAATCTCCGACGGACGAGCCCAAAGACAAGTATTCGTCGTCTGCTGAGTATTGAATGAAAATATACGACCTTTCTAGAGTCAGTCAATAGGTTTATTATTCAAGTGGCCGGATGAAAGTGATGGGGACGTGGAGGAGGAAGGGCAGAAAGCAGTTCATGCTCTCCACGGATGTTGATGAAAGAATACTATCAGAAAATGTCAGATGGCGTAAACATCACAAGATACGGAAGGCAACACTCACGTCAACCGCATTGCGGGAATTACTTAGACTTGGCGCAGCAAAGAAGGGCCTTAAACCCATGCGCTCGAGCTTCTCGAACCAAGCACCGAAATTGTTAATGCTTAATTCGCCCTTGTCGTCATCAGAAGAGACGGCGACGGAGAGAAGGAGCTGGCCGAAGGGAAGGACGGGTTCGCGTTTGGGAGGGGGTAAAGCGCGGCGCGGCGGAGGATAAGGCGCACGGCTGGCCAGTTGGGGGAAGTCATACTCATCCAAGAAGGCATCAAGGACGGCAAAATCGGATTCAGAGTTGATATCAAACTTCAGGATGTCAATGAATTTGTGTCCGTTGGTTTCAAGAAGGTCGTCGAGAGGGTTGGTTGGGACTGTGGCGGGGACGTCTGACTCTTCGGTGGCAGTCGTCTCTTCTTCCTCAGTAACGACATCAGTCTGAAACGTTGGGTCATTACATGCGACATAAAAAGATGGATCGAAAGGTTCTTACGTTCTCCGATGGCTTGTCACCATAACCGAATACTGTGCATGCGGCAGATCGGTCCTCTACTGTTGTTTCGAAGGACGAGCCGTCAGCACCTGAGAAAACGCAGATTAAATGGATGTTTGATAAATGAAATGACAAAAATGATATACCGATCGAGTATACAACACACTGCTCCTTCGGAGCGATGTACTCGAAACCACAGACCCATTTTCCACCGTCCTCCGGCTCACCGAGAAGCTCGAGATGGTGAGGACAACGGAAAGCAGGAGCAAAAGATTTCCCTGAGGATTTTGGACCGAATGAGAACGAGAAATGTTATACTGAGAAAAGACTTACAAGATGGAGCAGCCTCATCGGCAGATTCCTTACGGTGCTTCACGTACTCTTGGTAGTGCTTTTCGCTCTTCTGGAGCGCAGCATCTTTGGGAATGCACGGTCGCGGCCGATGAGCCTTGATCGAGGGAGACCCCGCTTCGTCTTCAGGGCACGGCTTTTCATGCTTGTCGTGCTTGCCAGGTTTGTGAGGCGGCGGAGGCGGTGGCGGAGGTCCATGATGAGGATGTTCTCCTTCTGGTCCATGAGGGGGATGTTCCCATTCATCGTCGTCTTGGAATGCAGGACGATGTCCGTGTTGGTGCTCACCCCAGACCATGGGCGGAGTTGGCCTGGAATCCCTGTGACCGTGGAATTCGTGGGGAGGCGGTGGACCCCAGTGCGAATGCGGCGGCGGCGGAGGCATACCGTAGGATTGCTCGCCATCTGACGGTGGTGGTGGCGGCGGGCCCCACCAGTGGTGCGGTGGTGGTGGAGGCGCGTCGCCATCAGGAGACGGAGGAGGGTGACCCCAGAATGGGGGCGGAAGAGGCGGGTGCTTGCCTTCTGGACCGCCGTGCTTCCCATGGTGCATGGGGCCAAATGGGGGCGGGGGCGGTGGTCCCCATGGACCGGGAGGTGGCGGTCCGTAGCCCCATGGACGTCCCTGGTACTGATCAGGATGCGGCGGATGTCCTTGGAAGGTCTCGTAACCACGAGAAGGCGGCGGTGGGGGCCCATGACGTCCGACCTGGAAGCCATGCTCCTGGACTGCTCCTTGACAGTACATGTCATTCATGTGAGCGCGAGCAGCATAGTCATATGGAGGGGGGCGACCGCCCCATGTAGAGCCAGAGAAGGGAGAATCATGAGAAGAATTAACATAGAGAAGAATGATAACGAATGACAGGACGATTAAAAAAATCGTATAACGCGGGTGACGCGCTGAGAGAGCCTCGAGTTTGGAGTTCATCTCGAAAAAAGGTGCTTTCGTCGCACAGTGAGGTGGGAAACGTTGACGGCAGCGATATGGGGATGGACAAGGATTCCATCAGGACCAGAGCTTGTTATAAAAAAGATTCCTATCCGCAGCAGTTTACAACTACGCGCGCCGTAAAGATTCCATTACCCGGTATGGCAATTCCAGCCCCTGTCAGTCCGACTCTCCGCAACACTGCAAAGTCGGACCCTTGAAATGAAAATACGTCGACGTCCCGGGAAAATGAAGGATAAAATATATATCCACCTGGGACACAAGGCACTCGTACCTCGATAACCACTCGTTTCTCCAGTCGTTGGCTGCGCGTGCCGTTACATTTAGAAGCCACAGAAGGAAGTCAACTGCTGCCACGTAAACGTTGCAGAGATAAATTATTATTGTCCTCGGGAACCACGAAGCCAAACATCTTCCCGGCGTAGTTGCGCAGTGACCATTGTGATTAGTTAGCTTCGTTAGCATTACCCCGTAACGCCATTATCGATTCACAACGTCCGGCGTTCTGACAGCTGATAAGATCACTTGGCAAGGCGGTATGAGCCAAACCTGTCGCAGCTATCGTGCACAGTCCTGCACACGAGAACAATACTACGTACGCAGCAGCGGCCATCGAGGGCGAAATGGGCGCGATAAAGGTTCTCGCCGAATTTATCAACCGGACGATCACGGCGTGACGAGTCCCGTGCCTGGGCTGACTACATCAGGTTTGGGCTTATCAACCACTTGGATTCTCGATACCACCACCACCGTCACCATCATGCCTCGCACAGCGGAAACAGCCAGTTTTGCGGTCAGTTACAGCACCTGCAGGCGAACTGGAGTCTGAGTATCTGCCTATAAAGTTCAACCACACCATGATCCGGGTGAAGGACCCCAAGGTATCCCTTCAATTTTATACCGAAGTACGTGCCCGCAACCATTTGTTTTTGCTGAGCTTCCAATGCTGCGGCAGATCATTGGCATGGATCTTCTCTCTGGTGCACTTAACCACAGACAAACTTGCTCCCACCTCTTTGGTTGACATCGGTATCACAGAAAAGGATTTCGGGGACTTCACTCTATACTTCCTTGGATTCGATCACTCCGGTGGCGCACTTAGCGCCAAGGAAAAAGAAGAGACCAGGTTTTCTCGTGAAGGTTCGTCTTCTTGCCTGTCTATGAGGCTTAATCGTAACGAATCTTCGTCCTGATGTAGGCATACTCGAGCTCACCCACAACCATGGCACGGAATCGGATCCGAACTTCCAGGGATATGCCAGTGGAAACTCGGAGCCCGGCCGGGGCTTTGGACACATCGCTATAACGGTTGATGATGTTGAAAAAGCTTGCGAACGATTCGAACAGCTGGGAGTTGCCTTCAAGAAGGTGGATGTTCACTCAAGTTTGTCGCCGTTCGTATATTGACAATCTCCTTCAGAGGCCCAGCGATGGGAAGATGAGACACATCGCTTTTATTCTGGACCCTGATGGGTATGTGTTCACCTCGTTCTTTGTTGTTTGAATAATGACATGATGGGTAACAGCTACTGGATTGAAATTGTGCCCCGCGTCATTAAGTTTGATTGAGATAGGAAGAAAAATCAAGTTAACCAAGAGTGTATTAGTACGTCTTACATGTAACACCGTGCCTACCGAGTGATACCTCTATAGTATGAATTACATGTACTTATATTGGTTCTTCATCAAGTTCTTGCTGTTATCTTTTCGGAAAAGTAAAGACGATGTCTACATCGGGAAATCAATATTGTTTGTCAATTCCGATAGCCGAAGGTTCTCGTTGCCTAGCCGCACCACTTGAAGATTGTTCGCTCAGCATGAAACGAACATATGCATTTCCGCAGGTCTGTCATGGCCGCCGCCCCAGGTGGTGAGAAAACAGCAAAAGGCACCTTCATTCTGTCGCAGGAAAATGCCAAAAAGATGGAGATAATCGCCGAATGTAAGATTCCAATCCGTCTGTATGATCCGGTCGTGTTATTCTTTGCGAGTTGATATGAAAGGCCGCCGTGGACGTCAAGCTCCAGAGAGAGCACCAGCTGGGCCAGCGTGCTGCGGTCAAGATGTTCGAAGCATGGTGGCGTTGAACTTCGAAAGCGAGTAGAACGTTTGTTTGTGGTTCTTGTGGTTCGCGATGCGATTGGCGCTGGCTTGAAGATTAGATTAGAAATATAGCGGCAACCGACGACTGGACCCCCATCATTCTATGCTGTTACTTAGCGCATCGATCGAATCCGAAGTCGGCATGTCGACATTCTTCAGGCGGGGGCAGTTCGATGCCTTATAAAGAGACGGGTATCAAAGAATCCGGGTTAAGTAGGTGTAGCGAATGTATGTAGAGTCATATTATCTTCATGGGCGACATGGACGTCCACTAAGTTCATCTACCAGCAGTGTAGTCGACAAAGGGAAACGATGCATTGGAGGAAAGAGGTCACACGACAAGCGCTAAGACATTAATATTCAATGAGCATTAATGGAGGCGCGAGCCATGTTAAAGGATGCGAATATTGTGCCCTAGTTTGATGGAAGCTTTCAACTTGGAGATCCAGATAATCACACTGGACGTAGGACCAATTGATTGTATTGACCACAGAGAAAACGGAGAACTCAATCAGAGACTTGGAGATGTACAGTCATGACATTGTTATTCACAGGACTACTCTCGCCCCGGACCGTGCCGGGGCTCGTGGTTGTTACTCTCACGGACTGTGACATGTTCGGCGTCTGGGGCTGCTCAGCGCCTTTGGCCTCTTCACCTTCACTCAAGTGCACCGGCTCCTCAAGATTGAGACCGCCTTAGGGCTCGTGGCGGTTCAGCCTTTCCAACGTTTATTGCCTCGAGTAAGTTTCAATATTCTTTGTTATTCTTTGAATGTTCATTTCGTATAATGTCAGCAATCATTCAGCAATTCAAACGTCCATCTCTGGTCTTCAAGCGTGCCCTAAGGCTTCAATCTTGTTCATCAAATATTATTTGAGACTCCGGACATTGTTGCATTATCAAAGTGCCAGTGGATTGCCCTGTATGTCCCCAAAGCTAGAGTAAGCTCTCTGTCGTATTCTAATTATATATTCTCTAGTATACTTCCTGCCGAAAATGACGTCTACATTTGTCCCCGTGGATTTGTCGTCCTTTGATCCCGCATTCGCATCGTCCTTGCCCCAATATCGACACCCAACACACTCTCCCAGAATCGTAGAGCTTCTTCAGACCAACAAGCCGCCTCTTTCTCCTGAACAGGATGTCCTTGCAGCCCTAATGGCTTCAGGAGATGAGTATCTTGCCGAAGTCGACAAGAAGATTGCTGCCACTCGCCAGCTTCTCCATTTTCTATCAACGGAAAGGGACCAAATCGTCTCCAATCTTTCTGACGCGAAAATCTTGACCCATCCCGTTCGCCAGCTCGGGGATGATGTCCTCTGTGAAATTTTCAGTCGTTGCGTCCCAGAATTGGATGCGGAGAGGAGTTTCTCATCCCTGGATCCCCGTCAGGCTCCGTGGACACTCCCAAGTTTGTACATCATGGAGGAGAGTTGCCCTTCGAACCGGTCGGTTGTGGTCGACTGTAGCGGTTAATATGCAAAAAGACCTTTCCGCCGCTTTCCAGCTGGGCATACAGTTGTCTAGGGCACAAGGGCATGTTTTATCCGTTCACGTTTTTGGGTCCAGTAGGAGGTGGACAGGATGGACTGCCATGTCAGTGGAACAGACACTTCTTTTCCAGATGCTCCGTTCGAGCGCGCCAAATTGGACAAGGTTGACATGCTGTTTGCCATATCCATTTTACTAATTCCTATCACCATTCAAAGGCTTTCCTGGCCGCCTTGAATATCTACACGCTGAAATGGCTTGGATGAGAGGGACCGATGCTGCATCTACTTCGGACACCTTTTCAATGACCCCATTCCTCCGAAATCTTGTCATTGAAGGGCCGCCGTATACGGCACACGTATTTACACCCTCTTTCGCACACCCGAGAACTGCCAACGTTTCAACGCTAAGCATTATCGGTATGAACCCCACTGACAAATGTCTCAGTCTGTTGAGAAGCTTCCCACTTGTGCGAAACGTCGATCTGTTTTGCATAAAGTCGCAGATCGCATCGGGACAGCCCTTGACCTTTCCTTATGTGTCGCATCTTGGCTTGATCGAGGGATTTAGAAGAAGTATCGCGGATATGCATTCGCGTGTGGTTTTGCCGTGCATTACCCTCCTGTTTTCCTTTTAATCGGTGTCCCCTCGCAGAGTCCCCATATTCTCGAATTTCCCGACGTACGCACCTGTGATTGGATGAGGAAAATCACAGCATTCGAACTAAAGGATTGCGATGGATGCCTCGGTAGTGATAATGCGAGAGCAACCATCGCCTTTCTCCGCGAGCTCCCTCACTTACGCCAATTGTTTATGGAACTGACGGATCTCCCTCTCGTTGACTGTATCGTCACGAGCCTGGTGTTTTCACCTACCAAAGATGATAATATTGCTCCGCAGTTGCGTGCGTTGGCTATGAGAAAGCTTCCCACTCTTTTTGACGGTGGCAGTCTGGTGACTGTCGTGGCATCTCGTCGAGGCATAAACACCAGGTCCACCTCCAAGGAGTATCGCTCATGTTCATGTTTGGAGGAAGTGCAGCTCGGGCGTCCTCTAAGCGTATCTGATTCCGCCTTGGCGAGTCAATGGGAGAGTTTGTGCAACAATGGTTTAAAAGTGACATATGAATAACAATGCAATGAAGGCAGTTTGGCATCTCCTATGATGTTCGACGGAAGGAAACGTTCTTGGGAAGTTGAGCATGGATAGATGGGTGGCTACCACCCGCCCTTGTCTGCGTAGCCTATCAGCATGTAAATCCACTTCGCTCGTCATCGTTATTGACCTGTAAATGGCATTGACTGTCACGACTCCCGTATGAAGACAGATTTAATGCCCTCCGGTATCTCGTGGCCGACCTTGAAGTTACCGCGGGCATCATAAAGTACACATGTTCTCTTAACACACAATCCTGTATAATCAATGGACCTAATCTCAGCCTTCTGATACCCCGGTGAATCTGCTAAGAAAGAGGGTAAGGAGGGTATGCCAAAGTTGCTGCGATGAAGGGATAGGCCCGGGGACAGCAGAAGAACGCTCGTGGTTGGGTTTTGTGGGCCGATAATTCCTTTCGCCACCTGTGGCTATGACGATGAGCGTTCGGCTTTCAATCGTTGGGGCGTCGAGATGTCAAAACTACCACATATTCCCATAATGGTACCTTGCACTGAATATTTCGCATAGATGATTGGACAGACAGCTCCATACGATCGAAGGGAGCAAGGCACGTAAACGGTCCCAGCAGCTGCTATGCTTGAGCCAAATACTGGTGGTATTTGTGCTCCTAGATTTCATGGGGTGAAGCACCATCGCTCTTTAGGTATCTAGCTTATTTCTCGTTGTTACAACTTCGACGCTGACTGTAGTTGTCCCTCCGTATCTCAGACATCCCTGCGGACGTCATTGTATCTCTAATACCAGGATTGCTCAAGTTCCAATATCCCGGAAATCAAGATGGGGCTGGTTCAAATTACTGCTCTCATCCCCATCTCATACGTATCTAGGCCGACCTCATATCCCAGACTTGAGCGTCGTGATCAGGTATTCATACAGGTGTCCAGCCTTCATGGAAGCGATACTGGAGACAAATGTCTGCTCTCTGTTCATCAACAACCTGCAATGGTTTACATTCAGTCTTAGCAACCGCATCGACTTCCAGTATCTCGACAAAATGTCCACACTGACATCAAGTACCCTTCAAGTTCTCTCGCTGGCATTCAATTGCCATGGGTATTTGTGTCTGCTTCTCTTTGGTTGGTATTCTTATCTGAAATATGGCAGCAAGCGAATCACGCTATTTCCCATGGAACGAGCTTCCTATTGTCGGAATTGGACATTTGCGAAAGACTTGCTTTCGTAGTCACATGCGGAAACGATGGGCCTCCGAGCTCCACGTCGTAGCGAAAGTGGAGCAAATTCGACCAGATCCTCTCAGGCCCACTGTTTGACAGTGAGTTTCGAACGCTGATGATACAGGTGCAGAAGAAGTCGCCAGATGATCACGAATGGGAAGGAAGTTGGTTGGCCCAGCTGTTAGAGAGCCTATTAGTAAGAGCGAGGCTCCTTAAAAGCACAATTGTCTCGGCTGACAGGAAAGGGTAAACTTTCTGTTGGGATAGCAATCCCGAGCGAGTACGAGAACGTACTCGAAGATACGATGCCAGTCAGCGGCAGCTGACTTGGATCGTGATCCGGACTTATTTAGTATCTCGTAGAAAGATCTCGAAGTAATAC